TATATTATTATACAGTAACATTTATACTTTATCAATGATTTTCACTATGATATAGGAGCATATGTTATTTTATATTAGAAGTACCCTCGGTATCTCATACTCGTATTATGGTTTCCATACTTTACGGTTTTACAATCATCAAATCTAACTTCTATAATTAAGCAATTCAACATATCTCGAATTTTTCTATTAGGACGATCTTACTATAATTTATTGCCAAATATTTATTTATTAAATATAAACAAGGCACATCTCAATAAAATTCAAAGAAATCTAAATTCTAAAATCTTTTTTTACAACAACTACAGGCATGATCTAATAACGAATTTTCCACTAAATAGTTTCCAATCCAAGAGCACTAAATTCATGGTGGAACTAATAGATAGCGTTTATTAGTTTAGCAGAAACGTCGTTATCTCACATTAGCGATTTTTCTCTACCATCGAATCGTCCCATTCGAATTGTCATATCTGTTAAACTTGCATCTCTCCCCCCCTTTCCACAAAAACTCAAAATGACACCTACCCCAGAATTAAGTGCTTTTTATGTGTTAATTATGTGCTCTAATGCCAATTTTTATGCTCGAACGGTTTAGCAAACCGTTGATGGAATGCAGGGGTACTAGCTTAACGTTAAGTTAGCATCTTCTTCGTTAATTACATACAAAGTAAAAAATTAGTACAGCAAAATTATATACTTTTATGCTTTCAAAATAATACATCAAATCTGGTAGTGTATTGGCGCTAAGCTATGATGACGCGAGACACGGACGTGCCTCTTTTACGCGAACCGGCAAGTTGCGTCAGATCAATGTTATCGGAAATTCAATAAGGGCTAAACCAATCTAAGTGTGCTAAATCGATTTCAACCGTTCGAAATATATAATAAAAGTGTTTTTATTTTTTTGTACGTATCCTATACGGAGATATCGCGACGCAAAGTTCCAAACTGCTACTTTTTCAGATTAAGATACGTCGTCATCGTCAACCGCATTCCACACATTTCTTTCGTGTTCTTACGCAAGGAACGCTAGTGATATAAATCATCAGCGAGCGCTGCAATCTCAAGACATCTGAAGACACAACAGTGTCGTGGCGCTAAGCATGGCGTGAGTCTGTACTACAATAGTGTTTGTACTACGATAGTGTCGGCCGGTTTTTTCAAAACAGGATCAGTAAAGTCGGTATAATAATAAAACATGCTGATAATTGCTAAAAACTAGGAAATATAATTTAAAAAGCGATTTATTCAATCTCGACCTCCATTTGTTTATAACTTAATATTTAACAAAAAGAGATTAAATGGAAATGAAATTATTCGTTAGTATTTGTTAACTAAATTAGGAAATAATAATGAAAGACCGATTTATTTTTATTTATTTATAATTAATATTTAACAAAAGAAGATCAAACGGAAATGGAATTATACACTGATGTTTGTTAACTAAACTATAGAAAATGATAATGACAAAGCAATTTATTCGATAACGATCTCCATTTGTTTATAACTAAATATTTAACAAAAGGAGATTGGAAAACGAAATTACACGTAATTGTTAACCTAGCTATTTTATAAACAAATAAAGTGTAATTCCGTTTCCATCCGATCTCCTGTTATTAAATATTGAGTTATTGAGTTATAAACAAATGGAGATCGAGGTCCAATAAATCGTCATCATCTTCTGGCTTAGTTAACAAATATAATGTATAATTACATTTCCGTTCGATCTCCTTTTGTTAAATAATAAGTTATAAACAAATGGAGATCAAGATCGAATAAATCGCTTTGTCATTATCATTTCCTAACTTAGTTGACAATATGGTATTTACTGCGTTGGCGATATCATTTTACTTATTCCATATTGATTACTGGCACTGCGATTGTTCATTTAATTCCTTATTCAATATTTAATTTGACATAAATTATGAAGGTTAGAAAGAGAAACTAATTGTAAGATGCATTATAAAGTATGTCAGACAAGGAAAGATTGAGGGCCAGTTTCACGAACGCCAATCAAGCTTAATCATAATTAACTATCAACCACAACTGATCGATTCTACTAAACAGCAAAGGCGATTGGTCAGTCAACGATCGATTAAGCTAACTGGTGTTGGTGAAATTGGCCCTGAGTATGCCAACTTCTCGAAATCTCGCGTTTCACAATTGGCAGCCTTCGTCTCTTATGCGACATTTATAAAGGTGCCTTTTTACTGACGTTCATTTTCAGCGTTAAAATCAAATGACGTTTGATATTCGTCAATTTTTATCCTTAAGCCCGATGTTTACGATGCTAGAGGCCAGTTTCACCAATGCCAGTTAGCATAATCGACCGTTGACTGACCAATTTGCTGTTTAGTAGAATCAACCATTGATTGCGATTGATAATTAATCACGATTAAGCTTGATCGGCGTTGGTGAAACGGCCCTAGAAATCGATCTGAGATCTCGGACAGAAAAGAAATTAACAAATTTGATCACATGACCATTGTGATTGGTCAATTCTTTCTTCATCCGAGAACTCGGACCGATTTTTAGCATCGTGGACACAAGACTATAGACAGAGACAGCAGAGATTTAGAGAGAGATATCCTTTTTTCATTTTTTCATTTTATGATTTTTCGGTTAACTCTTTAATTTTTTGTAATAACATTTAAATTAAGCAAGGTAATGTAATTTTGTGATAATGCTTTGTATATTATTTTGAAAAAGAATTAAATAACCACTCTTTTAGTTGGAAGAGAGAAAATATCTTTGAATGAATTGTAGTATAATAATTTCATTTAATTAAGAGGAATTTAAACCATTTGGACTGAAATAGGAAGATCCTTTAATTAGATATACGTACACTTATGTTTCATTGTATAAAAATTAGAGATAATACCATTTGGATAAAGTAAATAATAAAGATAGTATCACTTTTTTTGAGTTTTATTTTTTATTTTGATAGTAGAATTTAACTTGGTGCCACAGTTGTTGATATCAAATTTTTTATATAAATGATACATATCATTAGTGTTACGTCCAAACTCCGCGCGCATGCGGAGTTGAGGGGGTGAACGTAACGAGGAACCGAATTGTTAGACCGATTTGGTCGCGTCCGGGCTCCGGACCGCAAGGGAGCCGTGGGGGAGGACCGACGCAAATCGGGAGGCGCTTCGCTTCGTCCTGAGGCTCCTAACGAGCCGGGGGTCGAACGGAGGACGAAGCGGAATCCTCTGCTCGTGCTCCGCTAAACGGACACACGAGTCGGACGTACTTCGAGAAAGGGCCCAAAACTGGGTCAGTGTGCCGAGAGGGGCGCACTTTAACGCCAGCTGTGCCAGTACGGCCGTATGCCTTGGCTTTCGGTCATGGAACTTAATCCGAGTGACCGGGGAGAAGGCTAAGTGCAATCTCGGGCGAGCTTAAGAATACGAGGAGGGGTTTAGTTTAAATGAATTACCGGGAA